GTACTATATTATAAAACATTTGATAAATATTCTAAAAAAYCATTTTTTATACATGAAGTACTGTTTATTGATGCATATTACTTAAAATTCAAGATTATAAGTAAATTGTGCATAAGTACACTTATTAAAGTTTCATGTTTGAAATCGTGTAACTAACTACAGATAAACATAATCAAATACAGGATAAATATTTTTATTTTAAATATAAAAAATCTAAAATATAATTAAGATAATCATTGAGTTTTAACAGAATATTTAATTATTATCTTTATAAAAAATTATATTATTAAATCAAAAATAAATTACTTCGTTATTTAATTTAAACTAAATTATAATAAAAAAATTGAATGAAAGAAATAACAAAAAAAACAAGAACTTGTTTTCAAAATTTTATGATATCTTCAAATTTATATTTTATTCAAAAATAAAAGCATTATCGTATTTTCAAAACCACATAAAACCGTATTATAACATCGACAATGATAGAATAAAACGAAACATTAAAAATCAAGATGTATCTCGCTGTATTATGCGAGTACCCTTTTARTATTAGAAAATGTTAATATTAACCTTTGAATATTAACCGGCTTTGGGTTTAAGAAAATGGGCTTAGGATTATATATTAATAGAGTTTTTCATATTTGGGCCTAGATTTGATGTTAAAAATGGTTTTAAATATAATATGTTATTCATATCATTTTAAAYTCTAATAAGACACTTAAAAATATCTTATTAACCTTTAAAATTAACACGACACTTAAAAATAAATTTCTAAAATAATATGACACTTTAAAATATCCTATTAGTCTTTTAAATAATATAACACTTAAAAGTGTCCTAYTAGACTATAAAATAATATGACATTGAAAAGTGTCGTATTAGACTTACATGATAGGACACCAAGAGAGCTCAATAAGACATCAAAAATAAGAGTCTWATTAAATTAAATCAAATAGGACTCATAAAATAATGTGTCGTATTAGACCTTTTTAAAAAACGGGTCATGAAAAGTGTCCTATAAACTTGTTTTTGTTGTAGTGTCACTAATATTTTTTTTTTAATTCAATGTTATTTCTGATTATAGAAAACAATAAATTGAATTTTTTTCCATATTTATCAAGGGTTTTTTTTAATCTAGTGTAGGATTTGTAAAATGTCAAAAACGTGCATGTTTATCTCCGTTAACTTATGTCATAATATTGCCAAACTTTTTACACAAAGTCTTCTATGTAGTAAAATCGAAAAAGAAAGATGAAACTAGCATTAGTTGTCTCTATTGTTCTATCGCTTTCAAGATAGTTATCGTAAAAAACCCCTTCAAATTTAATTTAGTACAGGGATTGGAAGTCAGATAGTTATTTAGAGTTTTCAAAGCGAAGACAATGTAGGCTTSTTTTTTATGGCGTATATTGATCAAGGCTTTTTGATCCATTGACCATAAAGTCGACAACGACGACCGCAACTGTAACAAAAAGACCGAAGGTAGCAATGCGGAAACATCGCTACAGATATTACATATCGACATATTATTGTAAAWTTTTGAATTTATTTATTTATATAACTAGAAGAGTACTCGTACAATACAGCGAGATACATCTCGATTTTTTGATGTTTTGTTTTATTCTTATTTTTTTTGTCTCGGTCGATGTTATAATACGGTTTTATGTGGTTTGAAGAAAATGATAATGTTTTTAAGTTTTGAATATAAATATGAAAATATCATAAAAAATAGAAAATAAAAATATATTAATATTAGTATCAAACTAATTATTGACAATATCTCATTTTTTTATGTATTTCTTTTTTTATTTTTTGTTTGATAATATATATATATTTTTTTATAATAATTAAGTATTTTGTTAGAAATAAATAATTATTCTAATTATATTTTAGATGTTTTATATTTAAAATGAGATGTTTATCATTTATTTTATTATGTTTATTTGCAGTTAGTTGCACGAATTCAAACATTAAGCTTTAATAAGTTGTACTAATACACAACTTACTTGTAATCTTAAATTTTAAATAATATAAATCAATAAACAGTATTTCATGTATAAAAATGATAATTAAGGTAGCGTATGTTTTTTAAGAGGTGCTGAAGTCTGAAGTCTGAAGTCTGAATTCACTTCTGATTTTTAAGAGATGGTGCTGAAGTCTGAAATCTGAATCAGTCATACTGTTTGTTTTTACATATGAAATCTGAAATTTGAATCAGTCAGACTGTTTGTTTTTACGTCTGAAATCTGAAATATAAATCAATAAAACTGTTTGTTTTTGTAAACTGACAAACTGTTGAGACTAGTATCAATATTCATTTTGCATTAATTGTTCAAGATACTCCCAACATTTACAAGGCCTATATTATCGACTTGCTTGATACCATAAAATTCCTTGGCAAAGACGGTAGTCACAAATAAATTGATCATAAAATAAACAAAAAGGGTGATCGAAGACTCGATCATGTAGTAATTAATTGCTTCTTGGACCCTCCCTTTCTTTTTGCGGTCAATTTTCCTCAATTGCACCAAAGCAGAATGTAAGAATACATTGTGGGGCACCCTACTACTCCAACAGCTTGCCTGTTTATTCTTGAGCTGAGCTTTGGAACCAAAAGACCTGTCGTTACAAGTAAATCAAGATAAGCGACTATTGAAGGGTAATGCTAGGGAAGCTGTTGCAGTAAAAACAGCTTCCCACCATGACAAATAAGAACAAAAGATTGAACTAGAAGCAAGGATATGAATTACCTAACTGCAATGTCAAATTAGTTTAAATTTTTTGAAGGTAGGTGGATTTCATGAACACCACAGCAAAAAATGTTGTCTTTTTTCATAATCACAGTTAACCAACTCAACCAAAAAGCATGTCATCTTGTAAATAAAATTGAGCAACACTTTTAAGTGGTGAGAAAGCGTCTGCTTCTGTATCTAACATAGATCTGCTGAAGCCTAAGGATTCCATTCTTAATGACATCAAAAACCCACTTCCTAATTTCTCTATAAGGTGAAGGACAAATTGATCTTATCACAGTTACTTCACTTTGATAACTGTAATTTAASATACTGGATGTGGAATCRTGAAAGTTGATCGATTTCGGGATGTAAAGTATTGGAGTTTCAAGGTCATCACTATCGGTTATGTCATGTAAAGTATTACACTATTTCTCAAATTGTAGTGTCTGCAACATATGTCATTAAGCTCCTAAGTCCTGGTTATGGATTTCTCTGTAGGACTAGTACTGCACATGACACCTAATCACCTATATGTGTTTTGTGGAGCTAAGAAGTGAATGCAAAGATGGATGAATGTCTATCATGATTTATGTTTAGTTTTTAAATAGTAATTTATCCATCTCATGCAAGTGCATGAGATGGAATATGTTTAATATTTAAATACCACTTTATCCATATGATATGCCATGGTTTTCAACTATTTAACTTCTTGTTTGCAGGTATGTGTCTTTTTGTATTTGTGATTGTTATTGAATTGAACAAATTTAATAAGCTCAAGTCTATGCTCTCACCAGTTCTGTTACTACAACAACTATAGCTTAACTCAAAAGTTCTGTCTACAACATGTTATTTTATATGCCTTCTTATGCACTAATTAGTTGTTTTTGTTTTATTCTGCAGTGAAACATACTGATTTTTCTGTCTACCAGGTGTGTGTGCTTGCCCTTGGTTTCTTGTTTTCAATGGACCTTAAGAACACAATCTATTAGATCATTGTAGTGCGTGGTTGGATCATAGTCTCTTACCAAACAAAATGGTTGCATGTGCAATCAACTATGAGAAATCCATTAAGCAAGACAGAAGCCATTAATATCACTATTGACTCTTCTTTTCAAATGCTATTAATAGACTTCACATAAAAAAAACCCCTTACAGGATTTCAACCGTGGGCTTCACATACAAAAACCCCTTATAGGAGGTAAACTGTAAACCCTAAACCCTTTAATGAACCAGTCAAAAAGAAATTAACCAAGCAAGGAGAAACAAAATCGAGAGATAGAGAGCTTGAGAGATCGAGATGGATACCTTAAATCGAGAGATCGAGAGGTAGAAGACGGTAGGCGAGAGCTTGAGGGAGAGATCGAGAGCTTGAGAGAGAGATGGAGAGCTTGAGAGAAGACGGTAGAAGATGCAACGATGGAGAGCTTGAGAGAGACCAGGTAGGCGATGCAATAAGAGGTTTTCAGTGTTTAGGTTATGTCTAAATAATTCAGAGCTTTTCAGAGCTTTTAAGTTCTTAATTGGAAAAAGAAAACAAACACACTTAATACCCTAAGGTCTCACCAATTCAGACATAAGAAGATATTAAGTGTTTTTTTTGTAAAAACAAACACGGCATAAGAGTTTTTTTCAAATATTTTATTATATTTTTATAGTATGCGGTTTTCTCATATTTTTGATATCTGTAAAAGTGAATTTTTATTTATTTATAATTTTAGTTATCTAATTTAATTTAATTAAAGAAGAAGCCTAATGATTAATGAACTTGCCTCTAAGACTTCCTGATACAAACCTCTGGACGTTGCTTTCTGAAGACTTGGTCCTTATTATTGTTAGCTGCTAGAATCAGTTATGGAGAAGTTCATTAATTTTTGCCATTTCCTTGCATGCATGCATGCATGCATCTATTCCTAGTTCTTAGAATACTCGTAGCTTGAGTTTAACCATTTTCTTTTAACCGTAGGGTTTGTTTTAACTAGAATTGCATATATATTATTGTACCTCCAGTACTATACAATTTGAAATGATATCTGAACATTGTCAAGTCTTCTTCCTCTCTCGTTATTTTCTCCGGAGACCACCCATCTCGAATCGGGTTACTATGACGCTGTTTTTTTTTTATTAACCTGGATATGACACTGTTTAACAAAAGGTTTATTGGTTATTGGCGGAGCTGGTATCCAAATTACTGGTAGAGTACAGCCTCTTAGAAGGTTAATAGAAGAGTATTAATTTTCCTTTGGATTTTTTTAATCTGCATAATACTGATACAAATGGAACAACTGTATCATACCAAAACAAATACGTATACATATTTCAAGTGTCTGATAGGATAAACAAAGTTATTCAATATTGTATCCAAGGCTAGAAAATCACATTTTCACATAATCTAACATCGAAGATTATCGCCCGGTGAAACGCCAAGTTGGTTACAGTACTCGGTGAAGTACTGAACACGAGCACTAACTGTGTCCGGATTGACACCATCGCATTCGCGCGGTCCATTGATGGCTCGGATAGTCGCTCCAAACCCTTGGCCTATGACTGATTGAACAGCGGTTGTCCAATACCATAATGCACTACGAAAAGAGATGAGTGGATCCGTGGCCACGATTTCAGGATTGTTCAGTCCGTCAAACCCAATGCTACTCCCCGCTTGAGCGTAGTTGTAATTCCATGTCAGTTGGAGCGGACCTCGCCCGTAGTAACTTTTGCTAGGGTTACATGGGTATTGAGGAAAATTTACGTCACAATAAGTTTGGGAAGCTCCATTTATTTCATTGATGAAGCAAAAATCTGTTCGTGCATAAAAATAAAAGATTAATTAGGTAATCATTTCCTACGGGTTAAATGCAAGTAATAACAACATAATTTAGATCAATTTCAATTTTTGTTAACTTTCATGATCAAATTAAATAACTAAAGAAAGTGGAAGTTGGATCTTACGTCCGGTTTCATGAGTGACATGGGCGAAGAATGCTGCGATCTCCCGCCTCGAATCTTCTTCGGAACCGACCCTACCAAATTGGGGATAGTTTCCCACGGCTTCAAGGAAAGTGGCACGTGAATAAAACCCTCTTCCTTCACAACCGCCATCCGATTGGTCCACGATTCCATTGAAGAAAGCGTCTGTCACGATACTAGCGATAGATACGTCATTCGTCTGGGCGGCAATGTGGAGAATCCCGTTGAAAAGTAGACCGGCAACGATGAGGATGGAGTAAGTTTTCATGGTGGTTTGTATGATTCAATCAGTGGGACTGTGGAGGTGAATTTATAGTGTGTGAAAAGTGTAGGAGGGTATGGAAGAACGGTGTCGTTTGCTTTAACTTGGGTCTTGGTATCTAACTTGACTTTTCAAAGATTTACTTGACTTGGAGAAAAATAAAAAGTTTGAAAAAGTCCCCATTCTAGAACAAGACGTAAGGAGTTTTTTTTTTTGAAGACTGATGTGATGGTATTCCATGTATTATCAAACTGTTTACACAAAAAACAAACATAATTTGTGGTTATTATTTGAAAACTGAACTATAAATCAGGAATTTTGAATAAGCTATCAAGCTTATCAACTCTTTAAACAAAAAAACAAGCATAATTTTTAGTTCATTGGTGGGAATATATTTACTAAAATATCGGGAAAAAGATCGGATCTAACGTATAAGGATCACCAAAGATCTAGAAATCTTTCTATGCAAGGGTGGATTTTTTTTTAGGAACTAGAAGCGTACTCGTGCAATGCAGCGAGATACATCGTGATTTTAATATTTCATTTTATTTTTTATCTCAGTCGATGTTATAATATAACTTTAAGAGTTTATATCAAATGCTTTATCATATATTTCTGGGTATGGAACAAACTTTATAAATGACATGGATACTATCTAAGCTTTCTTTATGGCATATCATTTAGAGGTAACTGGTTACCTTCTGAACACATAAACCAGTTTGTTTGAGTCGTTGTTAATCTGTCGCTAATGTTGAAATTTGTCACTGATCCATCGCTAATAGTCTGTAGGTCAAGAAGTGGTAGGTGACGCTATCAGTGATGGATATCAGCGAGGGATCAACTACGAATTAGCGAATGGACTACTATTAGCGACAAATCAACGACGAAAATTATTAGCTACGGCTTCGTGAGGGCCTTGTTTACCAATGTATCAGTGAGGAAACAATTTAGCGACGGACCCACCTACTTTAACGATGGTTTTTCACCGTTGATTTTTGCTAATTTAAAAAAAATTATGTATTTCCTATTTATTTTATGCAAAATCTTCCCATAAATTAAAAATAACAATCTGAAACTGTCTAACAAATTAAAGATAACCAATTCATAGAATTTAAAATACCAAATTCATCCAATTCAAAATAATGTACGGGAGTTACATAACAATCTCACTAAAGGGAGGGCTGGGAGGGGGAGAGTGTATTCTTACTACTGCATAAAAGTAGTATAATGCTCTGATAACTTGATCTGCTCGGCTAAGGGGGCAGCTTACCTAGCCTGTTGGGCCTCCAAATCTGCCTACTCTTTCATTCAGTCTCTACCTCGACCCAATTGTGTTCCTCCATTCATCCATCTTCGCTCGCAACTCAGCTACCTGTAATATTCAATATTTGATAAAAATCAATAGTCTGTTGGCAATGAAAAGTACTGACATGATACATAAATATATAACCAATATATCTCCGTTGTTGATCTAGTAATAGATGATCTCTCATAGCAGGGATATGGAGAGGTCTCGAAACAAAAAAGATTAACCTTCTTATATCCTCCAACATCTACTCCCAAAGAGATGCATCATCAGGGGAGAGGCGTCGGGCTCTGCACTAGACTGGGCCATATCCCTAAGGGGGTGTTTGGTTCCTTAGATTCCGATGGAATTAGAATGTTCAATTCCATTGACCAATTTCCAATCATGCGTCTGGCTCATAGTGGAATGGAATTGAGTTCCAAAAATTTCTTCATTTGTGGATTTAACCATTCCTTCACAAAACAGATGGAATTGAAATCCATTGTGATAATCGGGTTTTTGGATAAGCACTTGAGGTAATCCTTACGTGATTATTTGATTATGTGAAAATATGCATGGATGGGATTATTGATATGCATATGTGTTTGCATGATTTATATTGATTAAAGTTTCAGAATATGCATGTATATATATATATATATGCATAATTGTCCTTTATGGTTTTGTGGTGATGCATGTGTGTGCATAAATTATAATTATGCAAATTTAAGAGGTGTGTGTATGCATATGCGTAGAGTAAGAGGAAAAGAGTTTTATATTATTTCCTTCAAACCGCCTCTTTTTAAGATAAGATAAGAAGAAGAATATTTTATATTTTTTCTTTCAAACTGCCTTTGATTTGAATATGAAAAGAAGGTTTCCATTTGAGAAGAGTTATATTCAATCTTGAGAAAGAAATCAGTGAGAGAAAGTGTGAAAGTTTTCTTCTTTAAAAGTTAGAAGATGGAATTTTGAGTTTGAAGTTGAAGCAGTTTCTGCTGCTATTTCTATTGTGTTTATAAAGGTGAGTTTTTTTTGTTTTAAATATTCAGTCTTTAAACTTGTTAAGGGTTCATATTTTGTGTGGAACTGTTGATAAATTTGTACAATTAATATGGGTTTATTTTCTAGAGATTTAAAGGTTAAAAGAACCTGTATCAGACAGTGTTGTCCGATGAAGATTTATTGTTGATCAGAATTTTCTTTAATAAAAGTGGTTTCCAGATGGTTGTGTCCGATGAAAGTGTGTTAAAATAATTTGTGAATAAAAAGGGTATTTTTTGTTTCTTTCAAACGAGGTTAAAAACTTGGGCCGTGAGGGTGGCGATGGAGTGGATGAATATTTGGTTTCTTTGGGTGGCAAGGGAGGATGCGGTGTTGTGGTGTTGGGTGATGGTTTGTTGGAGCATTTGTAGACGTGTTGTATTGTCTCAGGTTTGGGTTTCAAGTTGGGAGAGGTGGCGTTGAAGGATAGCAAGGGATTGTTGAAGGTCGGTGTTATCGGTTGAGGGTGGGTTGTCAACAATCCCTTGAATGATGAGTTTAAGGTCTTCCAAGGACCGTAGAACTGAATCGACAAAGGCTTGGAACTCAGCCTTTGTGACCAGATCTGCAATGGGGGTAGCCCCTGTAGCAACAGATGCTGTAGGTTTGGCCTCTGCTCCTGAGGCGCCATCATGGCCTTGTGAAAATGTGGGCCTAGAATGACTTCTATCATGTCCCTGATAGCCCTAAAGTGAGGAGCTATCTCGTGATGTTGTTACATCGGCTTCCTCTTCCTCGGCTTCAGAGGACGGGTAAGTGAAGTGAATGTGTGTCCCCTTCGGTAGATCAAATATCGAAGGGGGATGTGCAGGAAAAGAAGATCGCTCTGAACGATCGTGGGGTGTTTCAATGTCAGAAGCAACACATGCTTCTGAGTGTGTGATTGGTTGTGTCGAGCCTTGAGGCGAAGGGGCTCTTATTTCTTCATCACCTCTCTGTTGAGAGAGGGGTGATGGAATATGGGCTTCCTCGGCTGATTCATCTCCAGTGACCCGAAGAATGGCCTCTGGATGGCTGGCTTTGGTTGGGATTGGACTGGGTCGTCCTTATTCAATACCCCTTTGGCTTTGATCGCCAGGGGTAGATGTGGTGGTTGCCCTTTGGAAATTAGCTGGAGGAATTGTTTGAGTAGGGTCGGGGGAGGTGATAAGTGTTATTTCATTAACCTTATTACATCATTTTMTTAACCATTTTCCTTTGTTTTATTTGCCCATTAGTGTCTTAATTGAGTCTTTTTATGTCTTTTTCACATATTAGTAGTTATATAGTATATCTAATGTTAATTCCCTGTTTTTACAGGTTTTTGATGATTTTTGAGCCCAGTCCTATGGCAATCCTACAGGACCAAGAGTGGCAAGGTCCTATAGTACCTGTCCGAGAGCTGAAAATATGTTTGGGTTGTGGAGAAATGGGCTGATCCATAGAGGAGGCGTGGTCAATGACCTTGGGCCCGGTCAAAGCCCAGTTTTGAAGAAGTTTTTGTCTTATTAATTGGCACCCACTTTGTGATCTTCCTTAGCCTATATGAAGAAGGCTTAAGGCTTATTTTAAAACACTTTTTCATACTTTCTATCATTTAACACTTGTGATATTAGTGATAATTGCTCTCTAGAATATTGCTTTTGGTTCTAAGCTTTCGGTTTACGTTGTTTGACTTTTCAAGAACCAACTTTTGTAGTTGTGCTTTCATTCTCAAGTTTTAATTTAAGTACTCGTCTTTAATCTTCATCTCATTTCTGTTTCAAGTTACGTTACGTTTTCTTATCTTTTACGAGTTACGAAATAGTCGATCGTTGTTGCTCTACATCGGATTTCATCCTTTGTGGCTCATAGCTTATTTACGTAGACTAAATAATCTATTTTACGAGTTTGCAAGTAATCTTTCGGTCTTTGTAACGAAACTTGCAAGTTTCGTTACTTAGTTTGCAAGTTTTCTTCAAAAGTCAACTCAATTTTCCAAGGTTTTCTTATGTCACCTGCTCATTCCATCAAAGTACTATATGTCATCCCATCATGTACTTTCTTTCATTATTATGATTAGATTAATATTAATTAATATTATTTAGTTATTAATAATTTATATTTCAGTATTTATATTTCAGTCTTTATATTTCAGTCTTTATATTTCAGTATTTATATTTCAGTCTTTATATTTCAGTATTTATATTTCAGTCTTTATATTTCAGTATTTATATTTCAGTCTTTATATTTCAGTCATTTATATTTCAGTCATTTACATTTCAGTCATTTAATTTCCAGTCATTTACATTTCTGTCATTTAATTTCCAGTACTTTACTTTCAGTCATTTACATTTCTGTCATTTAATTTCCAGTACTTTAAATTCCAGTATTTCCATTTCCTGTAATTTACTTTCTGTAATTTATTATCTGCAATTTACTTTTCCGTCTCAGTTATTTATTTTTCAGTCCTTACATCCTTCGAGAGAAGAAACCGAGCAATGATGGGCTAA